ACTCAACATCCTTGAGACTGATAGCTCCAGTCTTCTTCAGGGGGTAAAGCCATGTTCCCAGGAACTGAAACCCTAACTCCATTGAGGCCCTGGCTCTAACCTGGACCAGACTTTATCATGTCTGTCCCTGGACAAGGACATAGAACTAGTTCCCTTTGTCTTTTCATCAGGGCTTCTAGCACAGAACACATACCAATGGACAAATACTGTGATTAGGGTAGCTTAAATTTTGGAACTAGTCTGTAACTGAGTGATTGAAGTAAATCTACTTAGTTGTTAACAAGCTTCTTTGCCTCCTGAGACATTTCACCACCTCCAGTTCTGCAAATCTTCAACCATGAAACATGGGAATCCTGGGGCTAGTCCTGTCACTCATTAGCTGCTCCAAGTTCTTCTTGCTGATTACCAAACCCTTGGTAACCTAGTAATGAATGGAAACAATCAACTCTGCTTTATTAGTCATGGTTTCCCATGGTCAGGTGCCAAGAAAGTACCCTGTATGACTGACTGCAGTGTGACTGATGGCAGGGTCTGTTATACCCTGTTTATTGTGCTGACAAGAAGATGTACTCTGGCTAATGAGACCATTGGGATTCTTTAAGTCTCTTTCCATCATTAACTCCAGCCTTCAGTTTGTAAGATCTAGGCTTTCCTTCCCAGGTTTACAAAAAGTCTGTGTTGCAGTTCTTGTAAACAGCTAACTGAGCAGAATCTGAATAACCAGTGTAGATCCTGGAGTGTGTGGCCCGTGTGACCTATAAATAACAGAGAAACAATTCCATCAGGTATCTCTTTGAAACCATTTGGGCTCTTAACAGGAATTATTCAGTTTTTCACAAGGAGGTCTGTCTACCCCAAGGGGCACATTTGGCTTGTTCCTTATAAGGAGTGGTACTTAAATTTTTGTATGTCATACTTAGTTTTATATTTCATCAGAGTCAGTTGACTGTGTCTGTCTGCCTGTGTCTGTCTTTTATTTTTGATAGAGGGTAACTCAGAGTAGCTTTGAACTTTGATCCTTCTGCCTCCATCTCCTAAGTTATAGGATTACATATCATATGGTAGTTCCTGCAGGAATGTTGTTTCTGAAGGCTTGGCTTATACTTCCTTACTACACATTAACTTACTATGTATACTTGGAGGTAGTTGTTAGGACTTTATAGTTATTTAAGACCACCAGCTTTTTGGGCATGGTTTTTATCTCAGCATCCTAGGGAAGATTATATCAATTCGATAAGAGGATTTTTTTGAGTTTTAGGCTTGAAAGAACCTAGCTGGTCCCGTCCGGGCCCTTGCCCCAAAAAGACTCAGATTGCTGCAAGCAAGCATGAGATTTATTGATCCAGTGTGCTGTGGTCCCCTCACACACAGGCTAGAGGAACCCTGAGCTAAAGCTAAGAGCAGTTTTTATACAGTTTTCACAGGGCTCATGAGGGCAGTTTTACAATCACCTCTTAAACAGTGCTAACCACAAGGCTGACTGCAACCAGCCCCCCCCCCCCCCCCGCCAGGTTTCCTGACAACTCATATTTGCACATTATCTTGTGACAATGAGTATTAGCTAAGTCTATCTTACCATAGCTCCTGTTTACGCAGGTTTATTGTGCTAAGGGTCCAGCTTCCTGATAACCTTTTAATTCTCTTATCTGGGGCCCTTCTCCTGGAATGTGTGTGTAAGTCTTTGGAATGTGCTTCTCCCGAACGCTTCTCTGGAGAAGTTAATTTTTAAGTTTAGGCTGAGACCTGAGATTCCTTCACGCTAGCCTCAGCTGCAGAATGAGACCCTTTTTCAAAAGAAGAAAAAGTTCTTCAGGGGTAGAAAGATGGCTTAGCAGTTAAGGGCAGTTGCCTTCCAGAGGACGTGAGTTTGGTTCCCAACATCCATGTTGGGCAGCTCTGCAAGCCTCTGCAACTCCAGTTGCAGGGACTTTCACACCTCCCTCTGACCTGAGGCCACCCCACCCGCACATATATTACATAGACACAAACACAAATAAATAGTAAATATCTGTTTAAAGAGCCTCTACCACTCTAGTGGGTCATATTCCTTGGGATAAATACTAAAACAAGACACTGGGCAAATTTCCAAGAATGATATTTTACTTCTTTATGTGTTTTCTGTAAAGTTGAATTCCAGTGATAGGATAGTAATATAGCCATAATGTCTACTCAACATTGAGTAAAACCACACATCCTTGTATATATGTAGTCTGTTGTTAACTGAGATGTTGTCTAGTCTATGACATTAAGTTATCTGATTGAGAGGCCCATGTCTCTGAGTAGAATTTGTATTTTAGTTGGATTCATTTTTTTAAAAAAGTGAAATAACGGACTGGAGAGATGGCTCAGCGGTTAAGAGCACTGACTGCTCTTCCAGAGGTCCTGAGTTCAAATCCCAGCAACCACATGGTGGCTCACAACCACCCATAATGAGATTTGATGCCCTCTTCTGGTGTATCTGAAGACAGCTACAATGTACTCATAAATAAAATAAATAAATCTTAAAAAAGAAAAAAAGTGAAATAACAGTTGCCATAATTATTTACTCTTATTAATAATCAACCCAGCTTATGTCACCTCTTACATACCTTATGGGAATTGTGGAGGCACTGAACTCACTTAGAACCACAAGAATCAGACTTACACAGCCACAGATTGTTCTTCTGACTCCCTAGTTCCTATTGACAGGACCTTACAACTTCCCCTTCATCCTGGTCTAAGAATGGCCCACTTCCAAGCTTCCAGTAGCCCATGTTTTGACTGATTAATATAATCCTTACCTGTTTTTCTGGACTAACATGGAACTATGCCTTCTGTGTTCTATGGTTGAGCCCCATTCTCAGCTGTGCATCTAAAAAACGCTTTGAGGTACCAAAACCAGAAGATGCTTATATTTGATTTGTATTTTGTAAGTTCTGTTTATTCTCCTGTGTACTACATCATTTCTAGGTTATTTAAAATGCTTGATACAAAGTAAGTGCTATGTAGACTGTTGTTATACAGTTGTGTTTAGGGATTAGAAACATGACAGAATCAGTACCAACACAATTTCTCTTGTTTTTAAATTTTTTATTAAATTTATACTTTGTATATGATTGTATTTTGTTGTCTGATTATGACTAAGTTAATGCACATAAATTGCTAGTAGGGAGCTGCTTGCCTTTGTTAAGACATTAGAAAGGTAACGTAGTTAAAAGATTCAGTGCAATTATTCCTTGTTCTATGTTCATCTGGTTTTTTTTTTTTTTTATTTATTCGATTTATATAAGTATACTGTAGCTGTCTTCAGATACACCAGAAGAGGGCATCAGATGTTACAGATGGTTGTAAGCTACCATGTGGTTTTGGGAATTGAACTTGGGTACTCTGGAAGACCACCTGGTTCTTAACTGCTGAGCCATCTCTCTAGCCCTCTCTCTAATCACATGTCTACATAACTGCTCATTCTTTAAATCTAAGCATGAAAATGGATAGTTGCAATTAATCTTCATTCTTCATAGTCTTCATTTCTGAAGTTTCCTGTCACATAAAATGTTGGTTACATTTATTATTATTACTACTATTGAAAGACCCCCAAGAGGGGAGATCCTCACTCAAGTCATGAGAGATCATGGGCACCCAGAAACTCACAAGAGACCGATCTTGATGCAACCAGCAAGAGGTTTATTAGGGGATCAGCGCACTGAGGCCGAGGCTCGTAATCCATGCAGGGGTAGAGGAGTTTTGACCCTGAGGCCTGGGAGTGAAGGGTATTTAAAGGAAAAAACCACTAACCAGTGGGGTGAAGGTGAAACCAAGGAAGAATTACCATAAAAACAGTGGAAAGTCCCAACCCATTATTTAGTCAATCATAAACCAGGGCGGAGTATGGGAAACATTCTGTACGTATTTTTCTTGGGAATTTAACATTGTTCAGTCATTTATCTTATGGTCAGCCATTTCCCAGAACAACCCAGCTGACCTGTATTTTTAGTTCTGTTCCTCCTTTGTGGTCAGCCAGTTCCTGGAACCTGGAGCCTGTGAACTGGCTGGTCTACATTCTTGGCTCAGTTTGGGGTCATAAAACTTTCTATATCTTTTATGATTTTTTATATCTTTCACTATTATTTTTAAAATGAATGTTTCTTAGTGATCAGAGATTTTTGATTTTTTTTTTTTTCGAGACAGGGTTTCTCTGTGTAGTCCTGGCTGTCCTGGAACTCACTCTGTAGACCAGGCTGCCCTCGAACTCAGAAATCCACCTGCCTCTGCCTCCCAAGTGCTGGGATTAAAGGCATGGGCCACCACTGCCCGGCTTTCTTTTAAGATTTTTTTTTTTTTGATATTTTCTCAGCAGACATTGACCGAACATTTTTTTACACTCCCTCAACTCAGCTTGCTGTTTATAACTTCCTACATACTTTTTTTTGATAAGCATCTTCTCAGGTTTCTCATAGGAAATAATAACTGTAATACCCTATATGATTAAATTGCCTACAAAACTAAATGGCAGACTTTGTCTACTTCTAGGTAGTCGACACTACCAAGACTATCTAGAAGTAGGTACTTTTGGACATTGATGTGTAGTTTGGGCTTGCCAAGATGGACCTTTTATATATATGTTAATAGCTCCTGTCCTTGTTTCCTTCCTATTGCGATAATGTGCTATTCATATCCAATGGAAAAGGCCAAATACTTAGACTCAATTCAGATTCAGATTAAATGAATTTATTCTTACTGCTAGCAGAAGGACAACAGCCTTATTGCTGAACAGCATGCCCTACAGAAGGTGGGTTAAGGTGAGGTTTAAGGTCGACATCAGAAAGGTGTGTATTGCAACAATCCACGGAATTCAAAGCTGGGCAGGAGAATAGTTTGACTGCCCTCAGTTGTTTCCTACTTTTCTACTATACAATAATAAGACCATTCATCCCTTCCCACAGCAATAAATAGGTTTTACAGAAACAAAGGCAGCTGTTAATACCTCAGGGCCTATTATCCTATTCTTGTCTCCCCTGCAGGCTACTAGGACTTCCCAGGCATTCCAGAGTAAAAGGTCAGTGGCCCTTGGGGGATGGATGTCTGGCTCCATATTAAGTTCCTTTAGTCATCCCAGGGACCTGTGTAAATTATTACTCAGTTCTAGTAGCACTGTAATGACTGGGACAGAGAAGTTCATTTCTGGGCAGGCAGACAGTACCATCGGATTAGGGCTGGCTGTCATGTCTCCACAATAAAATAACCCAACAAAAGGTATTTTAAGGGAGAGAGAGGTGGGTTTTTTTTTGTTTTGTTTTGTTTTTGTTTTTGTTTTTCAAGACAGGGTTTCTCTGTAGTCCTGACTGTCCTGGAACTCACTCTGTAGACCAGGCTGGCCTTGAACTCAGAAATCCGCCTGTCTCTGCCTCCCAAGTGCTGGGATTAAAGGCGTGTTCCACCACCGCCCGGCCGGAGAGAGAGTTTTTAAGGCATACAGTTCTAGGTTATCATTGTGGGGAAGCTGAAGCAGGAATTTGAAGCACCCGGTTCCATCCATAGTTAAGAGCAAGAATGAGAGCATGCGTGTTCAGTTTGCTTTCTTTGGAAGTCTAGGACTCAGAACCACCTCAATTAGTTAGCATAATCAAGATGCCCATAAATCAACTTAATCTAGGTAATCTCTGATTTGGCTTATTTTAGGCGATGGATTCTAGGTTGTGTCAATTTGATTGTTAAAACTAACCATCACAGGGGCTGGAGAGATGGCTCAGAGGTTAAGAGCACTGACTGCTCTTCCAGAGGTCCTGAGTTCAATTCCCAGCAACCACATAGTAGCTCACAACCATCTGTAATGGGATCCGATGCCCTCTTCTGGTGTGTCTGAAAACAGCTACAGTGTACTCATATACATAAAATAAATAAGTCTTTAAAAAAAAAAAACTAACCATCACAGACTCTTAGTAAGATCTTCATAAAATTTTTGAGTGAAAAATCTTTACCTATTCATCCTCATCCTATCCACCCTCCTTCAACTCAGCTTTATAATTTCCTACACTTTTTAAAAATAGTAATAATATTATTACTATTTCCTATAAAGCAAGGAAATAGTAATAGTAGTAATATCATATAAGATTAAATCTCCTGCAAAACTAAATGGTAGACTTTGTTTGCTTCTAGGTAGTAAATTTTGTTACTGTCTGAACACTGGGGTTTAAGTGGTCCTCTTTCCTTAGCCTTCAACTCCAAGTGTACACTATCATACATGGTTATTGTAAGGGTCCGAAAATTGCTGGAGGAAGACCTGAGATTCAGATAGTATGCAAAGACAAAGACCATTTATTCTGCAGAAACATCTAGCATGCAAGGGTTACCATTTTTTCCAAAAGGCACACCCTCCACTTCCCAGACATTTGAGTTCCTTTTATAACATGACTGCTTAGTTGCTTGGGAAATAACAACTCTAAAGCTTAGGGCACATTCCAAGGGGTTACAGAAATCATTAACTGAAGATCATAAAGAAGATATATACCACAGGACCCCAGGTGCAAAAACAGGAGATAAGATATTGACTGAGTTTGTCTAAACAAAACTTCAAGGATTAATTAGTCTCTTCCCATGACCCTCCAAACTAGTAACAAATGGTGAATGCCAGATAATTGCTCCTAGTTGTATGTGCACGTAGGCATTCTTTGTTTTAGCTTCTTTTTTTTTTAAAAAAAAAAAGATTTATTTATTCATTTTATGTATATGAATACACTATTGCTCTCTTCTGACACTCCAGAAGAGGGCATTAAATCCTATTACAGATGGTTGTGAGCCACCATGTGATTGCTGGGAATTGAACTCAGGACCTCTGGAAGAGCAGTCAGTGCTCTTAACTGCTGAGCCATCTCTCCAGCCCCTCTTATAACCTGTTATTAAATTTATAACTGAATTTATGTGCAGACTTGTAGTGAACTTTTTTTTTTTTAACCATGTGAACACATGCTCTAAGTTGTACAAGTACTGAGAACAAAGGGCAGAGATAAGTCCTCCCGTTTTCTCCTGATACCTCAATTTAGAGCCTCACAGTTCCTACAGACTGCTTTCTCTAGCCTCTCACTGTATCACTTTGAGGTGCTAACTGGAGGCTGCAAAAGCCAGCCTTAAAGCAACTCAGGTAGATCAGTTGCAGAACTGCAGAAACCTTTCACCCAGGATAGATAGCAAATGGTCCATGGCCTAGTTTCTGAGTGGAGATAAAATGGGATGTGAAAAATGAATTCCTCCATTATATAAGTGTGGTTTTGCTTGTTTTTAATTTTTGTTTTGGAGACAGGATATTATGTTTCCAAGGCTGGCCTCAAACCTGATAAATGCATCTCATGTGGGAAGTGGGATTACCTATACATGCTATTATGCTGGAGCCAGCCTTTACATTTCCTATGGCAAGCACTCCGTCCATTGCCATCATTTCTTTCCTTCATGTTGCTGTGATATTCTGGCAAAAGAAATTTAAAGGGAGAAAGTATTTATTTGGTAATAATTCCAGGTTAAAGTCTGTTATTGCAAGAAACTAAGGCAAGAAATTTTGAAATATTCCTGAGAGAGAATGCATGCATTTGTGCCAATTTCTTTTATACTGTGCAGGGCCCAAACCCATGGAATGGTGCCGTGTACAGTAGACCATAACAGTTAACATAATAGTCTTCCACTGACGTGATCACAGGGCATCCTAATCTAGACGATTCTTCTTTGAGACAAGTTGAAAAGCACAGCTAACCCTAACACCCACTGAGCCATTTCCCTAGCTCTTGTTTTTTTTCTTTTGAGGTAAATGGCTTTGCTGTGCAGCCCACATTGGCATGGAATTTATGATACACCTACTTTAGCCTTCCTTCCAGGTGCTACAATTTCAAGCAGCTCCACTATACCCGGCTTATTTCTGATTTGGGCAGAGTATAATAGAGTCACTTGAGTAGAACAGTATTTGATAAACCTAAGCTTTTAGAAATTTTTATGAAAATTTTGAAAATAGCAAGAACAAAGTCTCAAAAATAATGATTAAAATTTAAACAAGTGGCCGGGCGGTGGTAGTGCACGCCTTTAATCTCAGCACTTGGGAGGCAGAGGAGGTGGATTTCTGAGTTCGAGGCCAGCCTGGTCTACAGAGCGAGTTACAGGACAGCCAGGGCTACACAGAGAAACCCTGTCTTGAAACCCACTCACCCACCCACCCCCCCCAAAAAATTAAACAAATGGAAGGGCTTACTGCTTAATTTATTTAACCTTTAACCATTGTGCATTGAGAACATGTATCAAATTATACTATGCCCCTGAACATGTAAAATATATTTCAGTAGATAAATTTTAAGAAAATCTTATGCTTTGATTCAAAAAACCAACTTATGCTCTGTCTTAGTACTTTTCTATTGCTGTGTAGACACTTTGACTAAGATAATTTAAGCAATAGTTGAGAGCTTATATCTTGGTCCATCAACAGGAGACACAGAGCTAACTGGGAAAGGTGTGGTTTCAAAAGCCACCTCTATTAACAATCAATACCCCCATTTTTGAAACCTCAAAAGTCCATCTCCATTAACATCAACCCCAGTGATCCAACTCCTCCAACAAAGCCACATTTCCTAATCCCTTTCTAATAGTACCAAGTGGTGGGAACTAAGCACTCAAATATGTGAGCCTACATGAACCATTCTCATCCAAATCACTACATGCTCCTATGAAATAACTAAAATACATAGGGTGTAAGGGTGTTTACTGTTTAACCAAGTAGATCCAAATTTAAATTCCCAGCACCCATGTCAGAGCCAGGAATTGGCATTTCAGATATGTTAGCTGGCCATAGTCCAGGTACAGTGGTTTCCATTCTCCAACGTCCATTATGGGGTTACCAGGATGTATAGTTGTTTTTAGTTGGTCATGGTTGAACATGTTTTGTAATTACAGCACTTGAGAAGTAGAGAGGTAGGAGTATCGCCCCAAGTTAATGGTCAGATAAGGCAAAATAAATAGTGAGGCCCAGTCTCAAATCTGTTGGTATTAGGGGAGCTTTGTTCAGAACTGGGACAGTGTTAAAGTTTGATAACATTTTGTATTATACATATGTGCGCGTGTACACACACACACACACAACATAGTAAAATGCTCAGCCAACATTTTTGTTTCTGAAGCCTGGAAGTCCAGAATTTTTGTGTATCTTAAAGTTTGTCTTCAGCGCATGTTCCTTGCAAGGTCCTTTGGTTTGCCAGCTACTCTAGTGTGTCTCTTCTCATAACCCACATGGTTTTAATTCTGTATTCTCATATTCATACACCACTTGTAACAACAGGGAATTTTCTCCCTGCCAACTTATTTAGTTTTGTTTTTGTTTTTTTTTTGTGCATACCTTCTGGGTATCCTCCCCCCCACCCCCATCCAATCCTGTATCATCAAATTCCACTAGTTAAAAGGCTCAGTTCCACAAGACAGTCCCAGATCCCATTCCTGGGAGACTTGCACTCTGATAACTATTGTAAAACTAAGGGATATCTTGTGACAATCCTTTCTTTGCTATACTTAATAAAACTGAAGGATGAGGTGGATTTGGCAAGCTTTTTTTCTATGGGGTGCGTGGAATTTTCATTTCTAGTCAGAACATACTACCCTCTTAGTACTACCTAATATCACATTTCACTCAATAGTGGTGTTTGCAGAGTTAAATTCTGGCTCTTCTTCTCTTTCTAAAGCTATGGGTGGGGTTGAAAGGTCTATCTTTTTGGTGCTAAGTGCCAGCTGGGTTCTTCCTCTTATCTCAGTAGTGTAAATTCAAATATGAGGAAAAGAAGCTCTTGACAGATGAAAGGAAAAGAAGATGTTCCTGTCAGTCAGAGCATTGCAAGTGATGTAATTTTGTACTAGGGACAAAGAACAAATATATTTTTCTTTTTTGTTTTTATGGCTAGGCTAGCACAACCATGGACAACACAGGGTCCTGGAAAAGGAGGGGGACAGTGCTAGACAGAGACACAGGACTCTGGCTTCACTTCATGAATGATTAAGTTTTGTTTTTCCACAGCTGTCCCTACTGCAGTTTAGCTATCTACTAAAGATAGAATTGAATGCAAGGCTTCTTTGTCCCAGTCTTTGAGTTCCTCTTCCACACTTCTCTAGTTTTGTGGTCTTGTTTGTGCTAGAGGACATTTCTACATTATCTCACGCCTGCAGCTTTCTGAAGTCATGTTGCTACCTTTTGTAGGGTTTGTGCTTGAGAAAGAACCTTCAGACCGTCTGAACCCTCACAGTTTTAACTTTTTACTTTGAAATGGGACACTGAGTTGTCCAGATAGGCTTCCTTAAACTTGCTGTCTTCCTGCTTCAGCTTTTAAATTATAGACATACACAACCAGTCCTGGCTCAAGTAAATTTCCTGGTATGTCAAGAGTAATATAGCCATTAGTAGAATGCCATGTAAGTAGATACATTTCTAGTGAAATAAAATAACCTGCCTATGTATGATAATAAAACACAGACAAACAGTAGATTGTGTTTGGTAGGATTCCATTTGTCTTAAAAGATGTTTTAGATTTTTGCTTGATTTTTTTCAAATAGGGTCTCTCCATATTGTCCAGACGTTTTCACAGTCCCACTTAGCTTCTTGAGTAGCTGAGAGTCAAGTAGAAAGCTTTATTTATTAACTTTTGTGACCAAGCCAGTTCAGTCAGTCACCAGGTTCTCCAGCGCAGGAGTGAGGATTAAAGGAAAAGAGACAATTAGACAGTATTGCAGCATGACCCCCATCCAGTTCTGAGGCTGAAGGCTGAGCAGGTTTATTTTTTCCCAATTTCTTTGTTTTGTTTTGTTTTGTTTTGTTTTGTTTTGTTTTGTTTTGTTTTGTTTTGTTTTGTTTTTCCGTGACAGGGTTTCTCTGTGTAGACCAGGCTGGCCTCGAACTCAGAAATCCACCTGCCTCTGCCTCTGCCTCCCAAGTGCTGGGATTAAAGGCATGCGCCACCACTGCCGGCCCCAATTTCTTTTAAACCATTTTAATTACATGCAAGTATTTAGGTCAGTTCTAGGTTGAGGAACCAACAATACAATAGATGCAAATAGTCAAGGAACAAACAAGACAATAAGCAAGTCCCTTGATCCACTCTCATGATAACTGTTTCTAAGGGCTCATCAGGATGACAAAATATCTGAGCCTACTTCTCTGTTCTAGCCCACAGTCATATTCATGCCTGAGACCTACTTCTTTATTCTAGCCTAAGACTTAGATTCCTGACTGAAATTACTTCTCTGTTTTAGCCTAAAAGTAGATTCCTGCCTGAACTTACTTCCTCGTCATGTCCCAATGTCAGATTCCTGCCTAAACCCCATTTCCTTGTCCTTGGCCAAGGTCAGATTTCTGTCAAGCAGCCCCAAAAGGTCTCCACACTTTTGTTTATGCTTAGAAATTTATGAAAAGTAATATTGTGTACTCCAATATAACTGTGTCAGGGATATTCAGTAAGAAATTTTTATGTAAGCTTTGCTTTACAACTAGCATGGATTGGATAGAATAAATTATCAAAATAGTGGAAACAGGTTAACATATATAGTTAATGGTAGAATGAATGTTTAGCATACCTGAGACTTGTAGTCCATCACCTACACCTCAAAAATAATAAGAGCAGAGAAATGCCACTTAAATGTAACAGAAGGTGATAGCTGCTTTCTTCAGAGTGAATCTTTACTATTGATCTTGACAATTTTCTCAGTTATTGTTGCAGCTTCCGTTACTAATTCTCTTTCCAGATTAAGTGTACAACTTATTAATTTGAGGTGCTTTTTTAGTTACCATAGACATGGTTTGCTTTTTTTTAAAATTTTGTCTGGGTGGTGGCATTACCATAAGTTTGAAGCCAATCTGGTCTACAGAAGGAGTTCTAGGCCAGAAAGACTGTCTCTCAAAAAGAAAAAGAAAAAGAAAAAAGAAATAGGGGGTGGAGAGAAAAGTTTTTATTAAAGATCTTTGTTTGTATTTCTTGCAGATTTATGACATTCAAAAACCACAGACTTTACAATTCTGCTAAGTCAGATCAACTATGAGTTGGAATACAAAACCAGACAATATTTGCAAACCCCCACCATATTCTAAAACCCAGTCATCTATATTACAGCAGTTTTTAATGACTTCTACAACATCTCAAAGTTCTTTCAGCTATCCTGCCCATAACCAAGAAGCATGCATGTATTCTAGTAATTCAAATTCAGTTTCACAGCCACTTCTGAGCAGCAGAAATTATATAACTCCTCAGACTCAGATCTCTGTTTCTAATATGCCTAGCAGGACAATTGTGGCCTCTCAGTCTTCAGTGGAAAGAATTGTATCTACAAATGTTAAAGGACCCCAACAACCAAACCACAATTTGCAAACAGCGTCTTCAGGAGTTATGCAAAATGCCTGGTTGGGCTCTCCAATGAAGAATTTTATACCTTCCCATACAGAAGCAACCATATCCCATAATCCTGATGGAGGGACTAATATGCCTTACATGCATCCACCACAGAGTCAGCTTGTCACATCAGATACCTATTCTATGCAACTACAAATGGTTCCTTTAAATTCTGGAAAAGTACCTATAACATATCAAGGAAATCAGGGACTTAATCACTTCATACCAGATCAGCTGACTGACTGGACACAGTATACATCCAATGAACTTACTTATCCTGAATACAGGCCACCTCCAAAACATTACTCTTACATACTGCCAGATACTACATCATCACAAGTTAAAAATAATCAGCTCCCAACGTATACACAGAGCTTACAGTCAAAGCATTCTGTACATTTGTCATCACATCAGTATGCTGCAGAAACTAGCCAAAGACTCTCTGCCCTTCCTTATAGCTGTAGATATGGAAACCAACATGTGCAAAATGCTCAGCCTGTTTCTAAACACTTGCCTATGGAAGTTCCACAGAGTTCAGAAGTGCACTCATCTGAAAAAAAGAAAGATACTTACAGAGGCCTTAAGCAGCAGTGGCAGAACACTAATGAAAAAGTCACCATTGGAAAGTTCTGTGAATTGAAAGTAAATACCAAGCAGTCTTACAGTGAATCTGTTAGATCTGGGAATGGTGTTGAAGCGCTCGTTCAAAATCAAGAAAAAAGAAAATTTTCCTACAATCCAAGTACAAATCAAGTAATAGACACAAATGCCACAAAAGAAAAGCTAGCCAGGGATATTAAATCACTCGTAGAAATCAAAAAGAAGTTTTCAGAACTTGCAAGAAAAATTAAAATTAATAAAAGCCTTTTGATGGCAGCTGGTTGTAGTAAAACAGCCAATACTTCTTATACTGAACCAATTCAGCATTCTGAATTTTCAGCAAAAGAAATGTCTGCTAAAAATGGCAATGACTGCTCCATGGAATTGCTAGCAACATGTCTTTCTCTTTGGAAAAATCAACCTCCAAAAACCACAGAAGAGAGTGTTCCAAAACCCTTAGAAGAAAAACAGTGTAACACATCAAGAACCAATACCACAGTAGTTGGCAGTTCAAATCCCACAAATGAAGTTCATGTTAAGAGTATTTGTTCCAGTGTTGGAAATTCTCAGAAAATGATGAGCTCGTCACAAACAGTATTGTCAGTTCTCACACCGAGTTGTGAATCTTCGGGTGTGGCTGTTGGAAAAGGAACAGAGCTTCAGATTGCTGTGGTGTCACCTTTAGTTCTTTCAGATACTAATACCTTACCTGGGAAAGAGTTAGTGCCTGAAGCTTTACCTGAAACACTGTATCCAGTTGTTAAGGAAGGTAGTGTTTGTAGCTTACAAAACCAACAGGCTTTATCTTTTGATAGTATAGGAACAGTAGCAGGTTGTAACCTATCAGCAGAGATTTCTCTGCCTGTTCATAAGGAAAAGCAGCACAAACCAACACAGGATGCTCCAGACATAGCTGATAGCAGCTTAGGAAAGCACTCTCCCCTGGGTGCTGAAGCTCTGCCTAAGCCTGTGGACAGCACCATTGTGAGTGGACCCATGATACAAATCGAAAGTATCTGTTCTCTTGCAGAAGGGGATGTATCTTACAATTCCAAGATAGCTGAGATATTCAACTCTGTACAAAATGAGCCCCAGAAACCTTCACCTAATCAGATAACTAATAGTCAACAAGAACAAGTGCATGATACCACTGAAAGTAAAGACTTTAGCTTTCAGAAAGATAAGTGTGTGCAGTGTACAGATGTTCCTCATGAGGTCATCGAGCAACCAGAGCCTCTGCTGCTCAAAGAGCCAGCATCTTGTGAGTATGTGGAAGCAAACAGAGAAACCGTAGAGGAAAACACAGCTAAGGATATGTGTTTACCGGCTGCTGATCAGCAGGATCCTCACCCTCAGGAAACTGAGATGTTCAGCAATAAGTCAGTCCACAGTCTTCCTGAAATAAATGAGAATAATGATGAAAGTGAACCTATCTTATACCTACATGATCAGCTGTCAGAGCTTTTAAAAGAATTTCCTTATGGCATCGAAACTGTTACCAGACGTGAAGTGTCTGTGGATCGACAAAAGACACATAAAATTATAGAAAATCAAACTGGTGGTAAAACTAGTAACGTGTCTGGGGATAGCACAGACCAAATAAAAATTACAGTATTAAACTCTGAACAAATCAAAGAACTATTTCCTGAAGAAGATGAGCCCTATGAGTTAGACAAGTTGGCAGAACCTGAGAATAAAGAAATTGTTACAGAAGTAAAGAGCCTATCTGACTCACAGGTCCCTAGAGAAGAAAGTCATGACCTTGGAATGTTGGACCCAGAGAAAGACAAAATCCATTGCTGTGCTTTGGGTTGGCTCTCCGTGGTTTATGAAGGTGTGCCACAGTGTCGTTGTAGTTCCACAGAAGAGAAGGAGAAAGACCGGTGTTTGGACATCAACAGCAACAAGCAAGGAGAACAGCCCTGCAATAGTGGAATCACTATTTTTGAAATTAATCCTGTTTCTGATAACTCAAAAACTCCTCTGACCCAAGCAGCTGAGAAAGACCATTTTTCTGAACTGCATGGTAAAAAGACCGAAGCATCTAAAACAAAAGACAGCAGGGAGGAACAATCAACCTGTCAGTTTTTAGTTAAATGTTACAAAAAAGATAAAAAGGGCAATTTTAAAATAAGGCATGATGGCTCAATGAAAATGGAGCAAAAACTAAAAAATATTTCATCTAAATGTGACATACGAAATCCCTCAAACAGCAATAAAATAGCAACTTCCGAAATACTTCATGTAATAACTTCTAATTCTGCTAAAAACATGCCATTTTCTAAACAAGCTTCTCAGGAAAGCCGACAGAAAAAACACACATCCCAAGACTCGGGTCCAGTAAAAGCACCTTTAGAACCTTCATCAACTACAGATCCATGCAGGAGGAATACCTTTTTGGTACAGTCAGTGTCTCCAGAAAAGAAAAAACTAAAATTCAAAGCAGGTGGCTCCAGAGTGAAATATTTTGAAAAAAGAAAGATAGACCACGCAGTTATTCCAGATGTGGAAATAAAAAAAAAGAAATATGACAAGCTAGAGCAGAAGAAACATGCTGGAGACACACTCAAATCGTGCAGTGCTCTCACAGAATCAAATGAAAGAGCCAGTGTTCAAGAAAAGACTGTCCAAAGTCCTGAGTCCTCAGACTCAAAGGGTAGCACCTCTAAAAGTACTAGAGTTATAACAGTGCAGGAATATTTACAACGGCAGAAAGACAAACATGTAACTGGGAATAGTGTTTCCAGAAACACGTGTGTAGAAAGTGTGCTGTGTGACTCAGAACATGTGAAGACCAGTAAGCATTCTGAAGCAGTAAGCTGGGGAAAGTTAATTGAGGGGCCGAGTAACAGTGCAGAGACCTCAAAAGAACTGGAAAATAATTCCACTGGCCATGGTAAAGGTTTCAAGATCCACCATTCTGAGGTGTCTAGAACACACAGCTTGTCAAATAATAGTCAAGGAAAGTTTGGTGGGAAGCAGCCTGTCAAAACCTATAATAATCAGCCTGACAAAACCGATAATAATAAGACACGTATGAGTAATGAGTCCAGCCAGATGCCTCTCCAGGTAAAGGAACAAAGGAAACAGTACCTGAATCGAGTTGCATTTAAATGCACAGAACGGGAAAGCATATGTCTCACCAAATTGGACAATGCATCCAAGAAGCTTAGTACTGAGAAAAGCTTAGTACTCAAAGCAAAAGACATAGACAAACCTAGTATGCTGGAGTTTAAGTTATGTCCAGATGTGCTATTGAAGAATACAAGCTCTGTTGACAAGCAAGATGAACCTGGGCCTAGGCCTGGGCCTGAGAAAGTGCAAGCACCTGTGCAAGGTCCAGTATAATTTTCTCTTCTTTTTCTTTTCCTTGGGGGAATGGGGAAAGTTCTACATAGTTCAGGTTGGTGTTAAACCACTATATTATCAAGGTTGTTTTAATTCTGATCCTTTTGTCTTCATCTCCCAAGTGGTAGAAAAGTAAGCCACGGGACCCAATTATTGGTTTTATGTATGAGGAACAGTAGAGGTGTAATCTTAGGAGTGGGTGAATAAATAGGATAGCATTTGTTTTATGTTTGTTGCTTTTTATTTTAAATAATAGTAAATTACTGCTGACAAGATTTTCAACTTTAACATTTACTGAATACAAATATTTAGTCCCAAAGAAACTACACTGTGAAAAGCATTTCTCATAGTGAAAGTTTAAAAGAATCAAGTATACATTTATTTCAAGAAGTTTTGAGTTTTGTTGTATTGGTGATCAAACCACTGGTATTAGACCCTGAACCTCAGCCAGAGTCTTGGTTTTAGTTTTAGCTTTTGTACTTATAATTTCAAAGAGGCTCCTATTGAAACTTTGTTCCAAATATTGGGAGGTAGTGTACTTGTTAATAATGGGTTCTTTTGTTACTTTGACACTGAAGATGAAGATGTTTCCCCAAAGTTAAAAGGCAGCATCTATTCTGTCTTAAATAGAAGGCCTGTAAGATCTGTAATTGCTTAGAACAAATTAATCTCAAATTAGTCACAAAAGTCTAAATGGTGACTGGGCAAAGTGGTATATGTGGAATGCTGGTGGCACAAGAATCTAGGGAATTTAAGACCAGCCTTGGCTACAAGGTTTTGTTTGAAAAAACTAAAAACAATGAATCAAGAATAGCAATCATGAGTCATAGGTAGCATCTCTGTGAAGTGCAGAATTAAGGGGAAATGTGGGTGAGTAGTTGTGGTCATAAGAGAAGGTTATGAAGTTGTAGATATTTTAGCTAATACATTGTGCAATGTAATTCAGATTGGAAAAATACGAGGTTTTAGTTGAAGTTTTAGTTTAATCTGGGATTTTTCCCCCCCCTCTGGTTATATTTGTTGAGGTGAATAAAACTATGGCATAAATGGTATTTCTTTGTGGAAGGTTGTAGGTATAGAATACAAAAATAATTTAGTTTAGCTGATTTCAAGGTCAGGCATGCTGGCACATACCAACACTTAGGAGGCAGAGGCAGGTGGATCTCTGTATTTGAGACCAGCTTAGTTTACATAGTGAGCTCCAGGCCATCCAGAATTACATAATGGGATCCTGTCAACAACAAATAAAACTAAAATCAAAAAGGATAATTTTAATAGGCATTTTGTATTAGGTTTTTAGAATCTGAGAACTTGGGTGTAAATAGAAATTTGGGATTGAGCAGGGGCAGTAACTTTCTCATACTTGTAAATGCCGTGAGAAATGTTGGTTATTCAGCCAAGGTAAGAAAATGCTTTCTTAATGTGACAATTAAAAACTATTCATTTTTCTGTTATAAAATACTCACCTGGGGAAAATGATTTTTTAAGCCCTTTAGAGAAGGTTGTGTTACCTATGGAATATAGGTATAGTATATCATCAGTATTACATACATTTAGGTGAGGTCTTGGTTGGTTTCTTTAAGCTAAAATGGAGGAGTAAAGATTATATATCTGAAAACAAATATTTAAACAGTTTCAGGAATAAAAAGTACAAAAGAAGACTGGTTAAAATGCATCCCTACAAGGACAAAGATGCCTGAATCAAGTCAAGAAATAGGTAAGCCATCATCTGTTTCCCTTTTTGTTGTGTTTTTAAGTTGCTGGCTTGTGTATGAAAAACATGGATATAATTACAATATTATCACAATGCACAGTTTTATTTTACTTGTTTTTTAGTAACTTGGTGTTTGTTTCTGAAGGTAAGATAGTGTTGTTTTCTCTGTCAGGATGGAGTGGGAAACCAGGGTCTATCTAGTTCCTTTTAACAGGAAAATAATTCTATCACACTGAATTAGGTAAGGGAGTTTTTGAACCTTTTCCCTGAGTAGGGGTAGAGATAATGATTTTCTGAATTTGAGATGACCTCAATTCTGACATTGTATCAAGTGATATGTAAATAAGAATATTGTGTAATTGTGATTAAACTCTTCACTAAGATCTGTGGCAGGCTGGATTGGCCTCAAGTAATGTCTTTCAGTTGCCACTTAATTTTTTGCAGGCTCATTCATTCAATTCCCTAGATAAAGTAGGCAAGTACATTCCCATTTGTCGTCTGGCTTTCCACATTGCTAGAATAAGGATTTGGGCCTGGTCCCTTTCTTCAAAGTTTATTGAGGAGAATGGTGTAAGTATTTAAAATACAGAAAGCTAATTATCATGGTAGCTTTTATTTGTTTGTTGGAGATTGGCCTTGGCAACTATCTAGTATGGTAGCCTTATACTCACCATGAACTTCTAATTCTCTTGCCTCCAGCTCCCACATGCTGAAGGTTTATGTGCTGCCAAGAATAGAATCCAGGGCTCTCTTCATGCTAAACAAAAACTGTATTAACTGGATCCTCATTGTCTATTAGCTAAAAGTGGAATGAATGTACTGTCTTGGGTTTCTGCATTGAGAATTAGAAGGTAGAGCTGAAGAGTTGTGTCTTAAATTTTGCTTAGTTAAAAGAGTTTCAGAGTCTTGTAATTGGAAACAATTTTGTTAGGAACAATGATAGAATTTTTAAAAAGATATTTAAATTTAAGTGACTTGTAATAAGTGGGTCTATGGGTGTGTGCACATGAGTAAGGTCCCCTGAAGCTGGATTTATAACAGTTTTGAGTCACCAATGTGGCTGCTCGGACTACATCTTGTGTCCACTTCAAGAGGGGTGTGTACCCTTAATCACTGAGTCATCTCTGTCTAGCTCCAAATTTAACAGAGATGAGAATAGAGATTCAAATGTGTATAAGCAAACATGTACAGATTGAGTCATAGAAATACCAAGATAATGCTTATATGAACAAGCTTAGCTATCCATGCTGTTTGCTTGTAAACCCTGTACTTGAGGGGATGAGGCAGGAGGATTATAGAGAGTGGGAGACTAGCCCGGATTATAGAGCCAAGGAGTGCTTGCTTTGCTGGGTTCACACTCAGTGCTGAAGGGATTAAAGTAGCAGAATAAACTCCATTTTGCTTTTCAGACTCCATTTTAAGTTAACTTGTCCTCAGAGTGTCTTGACCCCCAACCTGGAGTTCTGAGAAAAACCGTGAGATATTCTTAGCAGTTGCAAAGTAGACATAACAGCTGTGGCCAGCCAATAATAACAGGGTGGGCTAAGGAAACATGAGTTGTTCCCAGGGCAAGATGTTCCCTGTAGATGTGTGGTCTCTCCTTGTGGGTTGACTAGACACTGTGAACCAATCAGCTTAAAGGCCAACATTCTTTTACCCAATCATGTAATGCCAAGGCTTGGAAATCCCTGCTTCCCCCATTTCCTTAGACCTTGAGCTACTCTCTTATCCTGTTCCATCAGGAAGGTTTGTGGTCCAGGCTTGAGCCTGAGTAAAGACTTTTAGGTGCTTGCATTGGAACTATAGATCCTGGTGGTCTCTTTGGGGACTGAGAGTCCCGCAATCTGGGCATAACAGTGCCAGCCAGTGAGAGGAATGGCTAAAGCAGGATCGAAAGTGCAGGTGTAGTGAATAGGGGAAGGAGGCCCTGAAGTGAGAGAGTTCCATCTAAATGCCTAGAAAGTAGAGAAGCAAAGCTAGAATATCAAAATTACACCCTTTGCATTCACTGTTTGGAAATGGTCATACTTTTTCTGCTTTTTTTCTTAAAGATGGTGTCTTATATAGGCCCAGGCTGGACTTGAACTTTGTGTGTAGTTGATACTGATCTTGCACTCTGATCATCTTATCTCCACTTTCTAAGTGCTGAGTTACAGTCATGTGCCTACTCCCTTTCTATATTTTCTCCATTTTGTTTGGCTGTTTGTTTGTTTTTGAGACAGGGTTTCTCTATGTTGAGCTGGCTGTCCTGGAACTTGTCTTGTAGACCAGGCTGGCCTTGAACTCACAGAAGCCCATCTGCCTCTCCCTCCCAAGTGTTGGGATTGAAGGTGTGCACCACCACTGCCCAGCTTGTATTTATTTTTAATTATGTGTATGTATGACAGGGGAAGGGGTGAGGTGCATGTAGGTGTTGTGCTCTTAGAGTCCAGAAGAGGACATTAGATACCCTAGAGCTCGTAGGCAGTTGTGTGCCCCTACGATGTAGGTGCTGGAAACCATAACCAAATCACTTGCTTTTTTTTTTTTTTTCCTTTGGAGACAAGGTTTTGCTATGTTTTCTTAGCTGGATTGGAACTTTTTAGGTAGACCAGGCTGGCCTCAAACTCAGCTGAGACTTAAGACAGTCACCACTAAACTATCTCTCCAGTTCTTCCTTTGGTTTTTAGGCAAGTTCTTGCTGTGAAACTCAGACTGGCTTTGAACTGAAGATCCTCCTGCCCCAACCTTGAAAATGCTGAGATGATAGGCATGTGTTGCCATCTCAGCGATCTAGCACTGCTTTCTGTTCCCACAGATACTGTACATTTTGCCTCACTTCTGATTGTATATCTGTTGTACCCAACATTAAGTATCATTTTTGTTTTCTTAGACATTGCTGACTCAAGACTTTCTAAGAGAAGCCTCAGTGCAGATGAATTTGAAACGCTACAAAACCCAGTAAAAGACTCAAATGTCATGTTCCGGACCTACAAAAAGATGTACCTTGAGAAGAGAAGCAGAAGCCTCGGGAGTAGTCCAGTTAAATAGTCACAGGAAGTAGTCATTTTTGTTTTTACCACCAGGACATCCCTAGTCTTTTCTTTTCAGACTTTTCATCCCTTACTGAAAATAACTCAGGACGGTCACATTTGGATTTCTCAGCCAAGGAGTTCAGTTACAGCTTATGTTATATTTTTCACTGATACTGTGTGACTGAATTGTTGGATTAGCTGCTGGTAAGCAGGCAAAGGGAAGATTGCATTTGTCTGGGAACTACAAAGTGTGTGATATCTGGATTGTTGAACTGTGTTTACTGTTTGAAGTCTTGCTGATACAGTGGTGCACACCTGTGACCCTAACATTTGATGCGTCGACACAAGAGGATCAAGAATTCAGGGTCATTCTCAGCAGCATAGTGAGTCCAGTGAAGTCAGCTTAGGCTTCATGTGACCCTCTCTCTAAAAGCAAAACAACAGCAACCAAAAAGAATATGAAGGTGGCTTATACAAACCTTACTTTGAACCACTGTCATCCTGAGGTAACTATTCATTGCTGAGAACTTGGTTGTTTGACTGGGGCTGTAAATAGATTCTTGTTTCTAAGCACACTAGCAAAATTTATTTTTGAGAAAGTGCCCACTGTGAATGTCAAAGTATATTCCTAAGTATTTTGTACCTCATTGTAAAGGTTTTTTCAGAAGTCTTGTTTTATACTTTTGTTAAACTGAATGGAGTTTTTTGGGAGATGTCTAAACTTTACTTTTCATACTTGAAATAAACATTTATTTTTTGAAGAACTACAGTTTAGTCTTTATGGTTCTGTAGGGGTCCATAATTCCTGAACAATGATGCCTTAGTTAGATTCAAATAGTATGCAACAACAAAGAGAATTTATTCTGCAGAGAACCAGCATGGATTGGTCTACCATACATCGGGATGGAAGACAGAGATACGGACTTTGCAGGGTCAGTTTAAAGCCTGTTGGGGTAGTAGTGGGTGACATTTACCTTTCATCCCCTTGATTGGTTGGCTCTGTCTCCAGGGGTATGGGTGCCTTTGTGATTGGTTAAGGCTCTGGGGGATTTGGGGGACTTTTGCTGATTAACTGTCTGCTCAGGCTAGGTCGTGGGCAGCTTCTGACTGCTCCTCATTGACTGCACGTGAGGGGTGTTAATTTCCGGAATTGACTTGTTTTGGACTTTTCCAGTGCTGGAAAACAGAAAATTAGGCCTAGTCTCCCAAACTGCCAGTTTGCAGCCTGTCATGGAGTCAGCCTGGCTCAGGCTAACTCAGTCCTCTCAGTCCCATTTCTCTTTGGTTTTGTACCCTCACTAATAGACACATGTGGATAAGTCAGGCATGATGGCACACCCTCCGGGAGGCCAAGACAGCCTGTGCTACACTGGGCTCAGTATATTTGCTTCTAGGAGAACATGTGGTTATTTTTAGAAAACTCTTGCCTCTTGCAGTAGTGGAAATGGAATTCTAGACCTCATGTGTGCTACATGCTCTGCCCTTAACTAACCCCTAGTCCTGTTTTTTTTTTAAATCCTAATGTTGTATTATATAATTTTTATTGAAGAAATACATTTAAAGTGGAAGGTAGTCAAGATTTTAATTTTAAGGATTATGTAGAAAGTTCCTTGTAGATTCAGCTTCCATATCACTGCCAGTCTTGAGGAAACACCTACTTAACAGCTTTTTTTAATGCAGTATTAAGGAATACATATGGTTATCTGAAAACCTATAGTGCAATTTTTTCTATGAGAAAACGCTATGTGAATGGAAGGCCGAGGCAGGAAGATTGCTGCTACTTCAAAAACAGTCTGGGCTAGGGAGTAACATCCTCCCCCAATCAAAAGAAAATAGAAGTGTATATGAAGTCAGATATTCTTCAATATACTACAGCCACAGAGAGAATATACATGTAGACAAAAACATTCTTCACCATTCTTCAATCTTAAATGTATTTTGGTATTTTCATTTATTATTTTATGTTTGAGAGTGTTATTCTTGAATGTGTATAAGTGTACCATGTTCATGGCTGGTACTTGAGGTTTTAAGAGGTTTTAGACCCTCTAGGTCAGTAATCACTGGTGGTTTTGATTTGCTCAGTGGGTCTTCTGCAAGAGCAACAAGTATTAACTGCTGAACCAATTCTCCCATCTCTGATTTTAAAGATTTATTAATTTTAATTATGTCTATTTATAAATGTGTATATGTTTGCCACTGCCTGTAGAGGCCAGAGAACTATTTGATTCTCCTACCCTGGAATTACAGTTACGAGCTGTCGGGTGTGGGTTCTGGGACCCGATGTTGGATCCTCTGACAGAATAGCAAGTGTTCTTAACTGTGGAGCCATTTCTCCAAAAGCTTTTAATTTTTAAAGCCTTGTTTAACAGTTGCATTGGCTATAAATAGTGTTTACCTGTTAACATTTTCTGCCTCAGTCCCACGGGGCATTTAACTGGGTTCTGGAGGACCTGGAAGAGAGAACTGGAGGACAGGGAACTTGGACAGTGGCTTGTCTAGAGTCTGATCAAATCGCTATTTTAATTTTTTCACACAGGGGTTATATACACATAGAGGCAGGATGTGGGGAGAGAGATGACACAGGAACATAGGTGTTCTGGGGGGGTGGGGCGGGGGAGTACAGATATCTTCCAGAACAGAGTTTTGGCTGTGTGAAGAAGCAGGGCGGAACAGGTCACAGTGACTCTGTCCATAAGATCTATGATACATTTGTTCTTATCCAAGTTGGCACTTTCCACCAAGTGCCAGGTCCACGAGACCTATGACTATTTGTTCTTATCTAGGTTGATCGTTTTCCACCAAGGCTGCCTGTCTACAAGATCTATAGCTATCTGTTCTAGGGTTAGTGTTTCTTCACAGAGACAAAGACTTTGTGTTAGTAGGCATGTATGGCTGACTTAGGCCTTCAGTGTATAAGCAAGGTTGCTCCCAACAGTTTTCAGTTTAGAAGTGACTTTTACATGTTAAATTTAGAATCTGTTTTATAAGTGGTAGTGAATGTTTTTGTGGCAAGTTGAAGTTCGAATTATTCTCAGGAAAGAATGGAAGAGAATTGTTTCTGTGTAAAAGATCAGTTAATTCCCAAGTTTGCAGTTCTGGGCAGTAAGATATAGAGTATTTCTTCCTCCCTAGAAGGCAGATGCTCACTGAAAGAAAAAATAGTCGAGTTTTTACAGGGAAAATAAAACTTGAAAATATTTTATTAAGATGTATATGTATGTTGGTTACACTGAGATATTCCACATGTGCACAGTCCGTACTGATTAAATCCATCCTCTCAGCAATCTGTCTTACCTCAGCAATCAATATTCTAAGAAGACTCAGGTTGGCTTTTTTTAAACTTCTCATGAGTACATGTGCTACTTGTCTCTTAAATGCTTAATTTATTAGACATTCCAGTCTCATCATTTTGTTGTACTTGGTAGAAATTTTGTTACTTTATTCTCACTTGTTAAAAGGCACCTAGGTTAGGTCGATGTGTAGTTTGTTATTGGTCTATAGGTGTCTGACATGCCTATTCTTTGGTCATTCACATAAGTGACAAAACAGGATCAAATGATAGTTCTATATTAGGGTTTTGTTTGGGGGTAGGTTTATTGTTGTTTATTTTGTTTTTTTGTGTGTTTTGTTAAGGCAGGGTTTGATTGTGTAGCCCTAGCTGACCTGAAACTTGTTAAGAGAGTACTCTATTTTATGAGTGTTCAGAAAGTGAGTTGATCCACACATTGCAGCACATATTTCTAAGAGTAAAATCATATGGTGTTCAGTTTCCTTCCATTCTTAGGCTTTTGGAAGCCCTTGAGGCTATTGGAAGTAACTTGGCAACTGTGTTGCATAGGACAATGTTCTATGACCTGAACATAGGGGTGCTTTGAATACTTGTCCGTGTTCCATCCTGATACTCAAAAGAGATCTGCCTGCCTCTGAGAGCTAAAACTAACTTATTCATTTACATTAGCATTTCAAATACTCGGTTTTTTGTGGCTGGTGACTACTAAATAGGACAACATACCCCAGCACATAAAATGTGCTCAAGTGGCCTAAGCATTTGGATCATGGACAGTGTAGTTGCCTAGTATGTTCAAAGCCTTGGGTTCTAAACCCTGCATCACCACAACAAAAGGGCTCCATTATCTATAGGATAAAAGAAATGCTCAGTGTTTTGTGGAATTGGATTTGGTTTCCTTTGGTTTGGATTTAACATTTATCAAGTACTATGTCAATTTATTGCTTGATCCTTGGTTCATTTATATATGTGTGTGTGTTTGAATATTTGTATGCATATATGAATATATGTATGTGTATATCTATGTATACATACATATATATGTGTGTATATATACACACTATCTTAAATGTCAAAAGAAAATAATTTTTTCACCATTATATTCTCATTTCCACCTTTTGTTTACTTTTCCTCCCTTCAGGGTTTTACTCAGACTGGCTGACCTAGAACTAACTATATACCCACCTTGACTTTAACTCAGTGCTATGTTTTCTCTCTCTCTCTCTCTCTCTCTCTCTCTCTCTCTCTCTCTCTCTCTTTCTTTTTCTCTATCCTTCCTTCCCCCCCACCATGTTTGTTTGCCTTAAACAGATATATTGCATTTGTGTGTGTGTGTGTGTGTGTGTGTGTGTGTGTGTGTGTGTGTGTAGCCACCCATATCATGGCCTGCAGAAGTCAGAGCATAGCTTTAGGGAGATGGTTCCCTCCTTCTACAGTGTAGATTCTGGGGAATTGAACTCAAGTTGTCAGACTTGACTTCAAGTGCTGTTACTCACTGAGTCATCTCCTTGGCTCCTGTTTGTGTGGTTGTTGTTTATTTGGTTGTTGTTTGTTTATTTGTTTGTTTTGAGACATGGTCACTCTGTGTAGCTCATCCAGTCTTTCAGCATCCTGAGTGCCGGTATCACATTTGTGTATCATAGCACCTGTCCACTTCCCGTGATCTGCTAGTCAATTACTGTTGCCTTTTTGCACTGTACCAGTTTGTAGCTGTTGAAAGGTGAATAACCAAGGTAGATACAGTATTGTAGTACTCAAGAGGCGGAAACAAGATATTGAGTTTGAGGCTAACTTCAGTCATATGGTATATTCCTGACTCATAAAAGCATAGAAGAAAGTGGCTAAGGAAATGGCTTAGTGGGAAGAGGGGAGCTTGGTATGAAAGCAAGTGGACCTGGGTTCAAAAAACCTCTAGTGCCCAAATAAAACATGGCAACATGTGTGTCCAATCTCAGTGTTGAAGGGTAGAAATAGGCATATTCTGGTAGTTCCAGGCCAAGATGGTGAGCTTTAGGTTCAATGAGTGGCTTTGTCTCAACCAAAAATGTGGAGACTGATAAAAATACCAACCTCCTCTGGCCTACATATACACATGCACGGATGTGGGCACCTAAATATATGTGCACAGGAAATACACCCTGACAGAGAAAAAAGCTAAAACAAAAAGCTAAACCCAAACTATTAAAAATCATACTGGAGAAAGAAAGTTTTTAAAAAGGAGAAGCATGCGTTAGGAATTTGACAGACTCTGAGGAACTTTGTTGGCTACTCAAAATGTGGCTTGGGCTATTCCAATTTAACTTAAACTCTACTTCTATAGCTCCTATAAGGTCCTTTCCTCTGGGTTGGGGATGATTATTGCCATCTTGAAGCACTGCATTTGCTATTTCCAGGCATTTTCATGACATTGGGCCTGTTAACATTCCCATTTGGAGCAAGAGGCAGGTTCATGAGGCTGCTCCCTCCAAGGTTATATAAATG